TAGCTGTGGGAATGGTTAAAAACTGGATTCAAGAATACAGATGAGTAAATCTGCTAATGAAAAAATGCAATATAACCTAATGCAGTCATTGCCTGTCCCCGTGGGAGGCGTGTGTGACCGTGAAGTCACCCACTCTAACAGACACACATTTCAACAGGTCTGGTTTGGCTGTTTCCATGGAGTGAAGGGAGTGTCCATAGTACAGAGAGCAGCCTGCGATTTGGTGAGAACCATGCGCCTTTGGGTAAGACAGACTGTGCCGTGCAGGAGGCGAGCCTCAGGCCTGGGAGCGTGGGAGGGCTTATGCAGGAGGCAACCAATCAAAGTGTCCCTCTCACACTGATGTTTCTCCCTGTCTCTCCCTCTCTCCACACTCTCTAAAAATCAATGGAAACATTGCTCAGGTGAAGATAAAAAAAAGAAAGAAAGAAAGACATGTCATATCCTATGAAAGACACATCTTGAAAATGCTGAAAGGAAGTTCTCATTTTTTCATGGTGAAGGGACTGGAGTCCGTGTTGATGAAAACACTTTGGCGGCTGCGGTGACTGGCAGTGGCTGCAGCAGCAGGATGATGGGGCTGGTGCCTTCCCCTGATCAGCCCAGTCGCCTCCTGCAGAGAGAGGCCAGACTGTGGCTTAGGCCTGCTTCCTGTGGAGCGGGCCTAAGCCGTTAGTAGGACATCCCCTGAGGGCTCCCAGTATGTGAGAGGGGGCAGGCTGGGCTGAGGGACCCCGCCCCCAGTGCACGAGTTTTGTGCACTGGGTCCCTAGGTAATAAATAAAAACCCATTTTCCAAATCATACACTGCAGAGGACAAAAAAAGGAATTAAAATACCTATTAATAGTTTAAATTTACCATATGGGATGAGAGATGATCTTTCTTCTGGCTTAGCAAAGAGTCTATTGTGTTCTGAATAGCTGGGACTCAGGTTCGCATGCAGACAGAATTACCTTTCCTGTGACAGCTCACCACCAAACCCACCCCGAGTTTGCTCAACGTAACTGAAACCACGTGAAATGTCCAACATGAACCGAATGCAGTAAGTGTGCTGCTGCGGACCAGGCCTGGCCCTGGGGGTTTGCATGTGGCGGGCTAGCGCTGTGCTCACCTTCCTCTTCTGGGGCGGAGGCCCAGGCCAGGGCATCCTGAAGGCCCACTTCTGACAGGGCCCGGTGGTGATGTCACGGCCAGGGTGAGCGGACTGTTGAACCTCAGAGGAAAGGCAGGGGAGGTGGGTGGGTGGGAAGAGATCAAGCAAAGAACTTGTATGCATATATGCAAAACCCATGGGCACAGACAATGGGGTGGTGAATGCCTGGGACGGGGGGTGGGTGTGGGCTAGAAGAGGTTCATGGAGGGAAAAAAGGACATATGTAATACTTTCAACAATAAAGCTTTAAAAAAAGACTTTGGAAACAGGCCATGTGGGTGTTTGGTCGGCCCTGTGTGGCGGCAGCCACAGCGCACGGGCAGGGGACGGCATTGGAGAAGCATTTGCAGGGAAGCGTCATTTCTCTTGGACAAAGAGGTGCTCACTGCCAGGCGGCAGTTACCCAAAGGAGCCTCGCTTGCCTTACAAGTGAGTTGAGCAAAGGGCCCTGATCAAAATGCGGGATATAAAGTACCAGCAAGCTACATGTTTTGTTCTAAAAGTAAAAAACCAACCGAACAACAAAAAAAAACTAACTGTAAACCCCAGGTCACCAGACTTCTGAGGCCTGAGCCTTCCTGTTCCAGGTTGAGGATGGAATCAACATGTGCTCAGGCCTCGGCAGATCATGCCACACCCCCTTCAGTTGCACACGGACTCTGTAATTACTCACTCAAGAATAAAGCAGTGTGCCGAAACCGGTTTGGCTCGGTGGATAGAGCGTCGGCCTGCGGACTGAAGGGTCCCAGGTTCGATTCCGGTCGGGGGCATGTACCTGGGTTGCGCACACTTCCCCAGTGGGGGATGTGCAGGAGGCAGCTGATCGATGTTTCTAACTCTCTATCTCTCTCCTTTCCTCTCTGTAAAAAAAGCAATAAAATATATTTAAAAAAAAAAAGAATAAAGCAGTGTGAACGGTGAAGTAATGAAATACTACTGCTCTCACCATGAATTATGGCATGCCAGCTTTGCCGTAAACATGATTGGGGCAGTGCCGTGAATGCAGGCCGTGCTGAGGCATGGAATGGACAGCTGTGCTTCTTTAGGTTTTTACATAAACACCCCCTCCCCTGGTAGAATGGTGCCCCCGCATCACAAAGCTTAGCAAAACCAAAGGGAATGTCAGCCAAGTGTCAGATTCTCAGGCCAATTTGTAGTTGCTTGCTAGCTGGCTTGACTGCCCCGTCATGGGGGGGGTGGGGGGGGTGTTCCCAGCGCTCCAAGGAAGGAGTCGTTACCTACGGTGGAGGATCTGCCTGTATCACTGACATGTACATTATTACCATATTTGGTTGCAGGGTTTCAACTCCCTACTCTCTCCTATAGAGAGCTATAGAATTCAATAGCTTTATTAAAAAGAAGAAAATATAGAGAAAAAGCTAAATGAAGTCAAATTTATTTTTTATTTTTATCAACCAACAAATAGGGGAAAATTTATACTGATAATAAAGATAAATGACATTCCCTTTTTCAAAATTTACACAATGCCATGAAATTTATCTAACTCTTAATAAGGGGAAGCTGAATTTGGTGTACCAACTTAAGAAGTAGTGTTATAAAAAATTTAATTTTATTCTCCTTCAGTTCCAGAGAGTTCCACTCCTTATAATATTTATTAATAACACCAGGAAAAATTAGGAAATTTCTTTTTAAGATCATTTTCCATTTCAACCTTCCTTTTCAAGTTTCATAAACGAACTACTTAAAATTCACTCCTGGCAGTCTCAAAAATACACATCATATCTCTTGAATCATATTCCTATAGTAAAATTCCAAAGTAATCAGTTTTAATTTATTTTCAGCAGATGCAACACATATTTTATATACACATTTTCATTTAAAATTAAGGTTTTTTGGCACAGAATCCCAGGCCTGTAGTTTTCAAACTCCACTGCTTTCCACCGACCAACTAGGGTTAGTTTGGAAGGAAACGGTGCTCTCAATGCCTTGGTCTTGTATGTATGAGCGCTCCCCTCTGCCTCCCCCACAGCCCATCAGTGTCCCGAGCCTTCAGAGCATGAGAAGAAAGGCTAGAATAGTTACTTCTGCACATCGGTGGGGGAGGGGAGGGGGGCAGAGAGCCGCTGCCAAGGGTTCCTAAGCACTGTGTCTTTAAATTTATGCATGTTTTCCATCAGTAATACTGCGGCCACGCGTACTCTTTGCTATACCTCCAGTGTGAATCCGTGGAGCTACATGAGTGGCTTAATTCGTGTCCAAACCCAGACATTTAGAGTCTTGTTCCAGTCACGTTTGAAAGAGGGTTATTGTTTTTTCCAGAAAAACTGTCAGTCCAAGAAAATATGCATATAAGAGACGGAAACTCAAGTCATCTTTAATGAGTATGTCCCACTGCTTGCTCTTAGTGCTTCCTGCCTGAGTAAAAGTCAAACCTGAAGTCTAACCAACCTGTTAAACGCTGAATACTGTTATATAAACTTTCCATCTTGTCTGCTAAAGCCTCTGGATTCAACGTTCCCGAATGCGCTACAGAAACATCCCCAAGCAGATGGTCACAGATGGGCGTGAAGGGCACGCTCCCGCCTCCTCCTCCAGCCTCTCACCCTCTAACCGGCCCACGTGCTTCAGCAGGTGCTGCGCTGGCTCCCACTCGCCAGAGGCCCCACAGTGTCGCTTCATCGAAGCTGCCACACCCACAGACTGGTGTCACCACACAGCCTTTCTCTTTGCACCGTTTACACATGAAGAGGCGATGGAATCCATATGTCACCCCAACACACGCAGAATGAGGAACAAATAAAAACCAGCTGATTTTCAATCTTCCTGGGTGGGGCTCAGAGCCAGGCCCTCAGCTGCTCCTGAGCTCAGGATGGAGCCAGGGCGGCTGGGCTTTGAGTGCCGGCCGCCAGCCACCAGGAGCCTCAGCCACCAGGAGCCCCAGCCACCAGGAACCCCCGG